TTCCTAGAACGCTGGGTAGCTCAATTCGGTTGCGCAAACTTAGTCATCACTGACAGAGGATCACACTTTGACGGATCCTTCAGTAAACTGCTCAACGTTCTTGGTTGCCAACATAATCGAACCACCACATATCACCCTGCAGCTAATGGGATGGTAGAAAGGTTCCACCCGCAACTCAAAGCCTCACTCCGTCCTTAAGCTAGCACATCCTGGCACGAAGCACTTCCGCTCGTTCTCTTAGGCATAAGAAACACAACTAAAGCGGATTTGCACGCCACTCCATCGTCGCTAGTCTTTGGATGCACACAACGCTTACCTGGTGAACTCGTCTCACCAAAAGCGCCAACAACCTTAGACTATGGCGACTACGAAACTCGCCTATCTCATTACATGCGACAGCTTCAGCCTGTGTAACCCAGAGCACAGAGCTTGCGTACCAACGTGTATGAACGCTTAACTACTTGCACGCACGTGTTCGTTCGCGTTGACAGTATACGTCGGCCACTTCAACCTCCTTATTCTGGTCCGTACCGTGTCGTATGCAGAAGCGACAAGACGTTTACCATTGACTACAATGGTAAGACTGAGAGGATCAACGTCGATCGACTCTAACCAGCATTCCTCGACAAGTTTGACTCTTCGGTGCAACAAGCATTTTCACAGCCTGTGCCACCACAGCTCGCACCGCAACCTCAGACGAGTCAGTCCCGTCCAGCAGCACCGACAACCTCAACCGACAGCACTCCTTCTCGCCCTACTATCGATCGACGCGGTAGGAAACTCAAACCTCCAGTTCGATTTTCGGACTTCGTTAGCACTCACTATTTTACATAGCACGTGCCTTTGAGATTTTCTGCTCTTACCTAACGTTTTTGAAAATCCACAAAAAAAAGATCAAAACGTTTTGAAATCACCAATGAAGAGCAAAACCTTTTGAAAACCCAAAAACAGGTTCGCACGTTTTTCGCTTTGCACTCTTTTTTGTATGGCTATGCATTTATGCTGCTTTTTCATTTTGCTTTCCATATACACCGTCCGTTGGTTGCACCTCGGTTTCACTTTTCGCTGGATCCCCGCACGTCAACCGGAAGTGGAACGAACTTCCTGCCCAACCACCTTGGTGAACTTTACTGTCTCCCACAAACAGTATTTTACCGTTTCGACACCGTAGGGAGGACACGGGTGGGAGCCCGCTAGCGTCCGATTGCTTGGTTCTCCCCCATCAGCTGCATCAGGTTTCACAACCTGGTCTCGCAGAAGGCTGGCCCGCGACGGGCAGTCGTCACGTAGATCGAAGGACTGCTTACACAGTCCTTTCTGGGAGAGGGCTATGTAGCAGTCTGGAGATTCCCCGGTTTGCCTGTGTAAAATTCTAACTAAAATTATCTCATTGTACACCTAAGCAACCGGTTTGGTTTGTTGAACTGATTGCTGAGTTCGAATGCTTGACTTGCTCATCGCCATTTTTGATTGGCGCCCGTTTCGGTTGCGACTCGCGACTGCCTTGTGTGCTGTGCTCGCTCCGTTCCCCTAGCTAGAGCGTAATGGTATCGTTCCTTTATAGCTAGATAACAGGGAACCTTTTACTGTTCCAATAAAAGTTTCCCTGCAACTCGATCTGTCTTCTCGAATCGCTCTCTGGGCTCCCGGTACAGGCGATCCGCTAAAAGGTGTGCACACAAGCACACGAAGGCGCGGCGTGTATTGATGGGTTCGCGTGACACGACGACGCACGCGAGACGTTGGCAAAGTATCCGGACGCGATGTTTAGTAGGTGAATGACGCAAAATGTCTTGTAATTGTTATGCTGCCACCTGGAGGGAGGGTTGCAGGGTCGTTTGAGAGATCTCAGCTTCTACCGAATGAGACCAAAAATATCATCGAAAAGCTCGGGAGTGATGTAGTTTTACAAGCAGAACCCGAAGAAGGATGTACCGAAATTGAGAACGGGAGGAAAAGTATGATTCACACAAGTTAGATCCAAAAGAAGGAAAGCACCGAGTAGCGCTCGTCGAACTGGTTCGAACGAGCAAACGCACAAGAATGGAGCGTTTTATGCGTTCACGTACCTCAAAAGTGAGATGTTGAATAAAATACCCAACGGATTGAGGATGCTCGGTTTTCCGTGTATCCGGACAGTCATAAAGATACACAAGCATTTTGGATTGCGCTGGAACTCCCTTTAGAGATTTAAAACTTTCCTACAATTCTCTCAGCTGTAGTTCAGGTGCAGCAATCATCTGAATCGCTTTAGAGGGTAATTCTGTGTTAACTACTAACGTTCTATCAGAGAAATATTATAAATAATTAAAGACTATCTTTGGATTGGTTTTTCACGTATGCGCGAGTTCGGCTTTAGATAAATCTTAGGTGTTGCACCTTTCATTTTAACCATGCTGGTGGATGGATTATAAGCAGGATGTTTTGGCAGGGTATGAGAAGCCTCCTGTCTTCTTTGTGCTTCTCGGTTTGACAGACAGCCATCATTTTGAATGCTTAGTCACTAGAATGTTAGGGTTAGTAAAACCAAGTAAAATGCCACAACTGCAGAGTACGACGTACCGTTTCAACTGCAATAACCAGTGCCCAGGAAAAAGGTTACAAAACCAATACAACGCAACGCAAAGGGTTCCAGATGGTCCTTCTTTGATTGAACGCTAGGTGCCCAGGCCAGCTGTGAAGTCGACTTGGTGTCGTATCGTGACACGAAGCACAAGATTCAGTTGGTACACACGCACAAAACACTGCGCTTGCGGCCAGATGTTGATGATTGTTTCGGAGGTGACACGACAGATGTGGATAACGGGATAGAATAAGCGTGGACAGTGTAGTTTAAGCGCGGTTATCTATCAGGTCGCGGAGACTGGAGGATTTCGGTAGGTAACGGGAGAAGCTGATCCTAGGCTGGTTGCAAAGCAGAAGTGAACGTATAGGAAGTGGTGATTTTCTGTACGGCAACCGACTGAGTTGGAAATAGGCTTGATAGAAACCGTGGAACTGTCTTGCATGTGAAACCAGAATTAGCCTTGTTCGTTTGGAAGTGATCAAGACAGGCACCGAGTTTTAAGCGCGACTGAGCCGATTCAAAGCAGAAGTTGAAAAAACCACGGTAGAGGTTGATCTTTTAAGTGTACACTCGAAGAAGTCTGCGTAATAGTAAGGCTTAATTGAACGCGATGAAATGTGAGTACAGGGGCAGATACATGATAAAATTTGGACCCGAAAACTATGAAAAATTTCGGAGCACGAAGTAGCTTACATTCAATTTTTTTACTTAACCGCTACGCAGTTAGGTGGAACAAGCTACCGCAGTAGTTGAGAAGTTGTAACTCAATGGGGTTATCCTCACTCCGGTAAACAGAAAATTGACGGTGACAGGTATCAGCAGAAAAACTTCAGTGATTACCGAAACTCGTCGATATCACTTCCTATGGACCTCGGCTGCCCCAAATGGTGGAGCCACTGTTCGTATGAAGAGCCCGAGCACAAAATCTTGACGATTTCATCGCAAAATTTGGTCGGATTAACCTCTGGGTCAGTGTCTCGCACTATCGAAATATAAACTACTCTTTTATTTCTGTTTTCTTATGACTCTCTCTTACATTCTTTCTGTAATGTTAAATATCTCATCATTTCCCGGATGTGACCCTAGGAAATATTTGCACTTTTGAACGCATGCAACTGATGAATGAATCTAAAAATTCTTTTCAGTACTGTCCTGAATTTCGAGCAGTCCTTTGTCTTGGCAATTGTGCTGTACTGGTTGAACGAAAAGTCAGTCGGCATTGCTTGCGTAGTAGCAAAATAGGCCATTTCCTTAGTTGCTATTACTACCCTTCTACTTACCCATATTTTGTATTCAATGTCGGCCATGACTGGGTCGATCACCAGAAGTGACGGACGGAAACTTCCAAGCTAATAAGTATACCCAAGCAAGGCGCACTGACACTAGCTAACTAGAGAAAAAGCGCTTGAGTCAAAAATCCGATTGACCGTAAAGGGTAGATGGCTAGAGTGTCCTTACTATATACACATGAAAACAGTCTAGATGATCAGTAAAATAGGTGTTTGCTTGCCAAGTTTAGAGCCACACCGGTACACGGCTAGATGGGGCACAGGAGTGCGGGCGAAAGCGTTATAGAGAATATGCCGCATGGATGTAAGATGAGAGGAGACGGTCCCATGGATGGTCGTATTACTTAACTTGAACATCAGGTTTAACGTGCAGTTATAATTTCTATCAGCCTTTCGATCTACATGAAAGCCAGATTAGATCAGTTAGCCCCGCCCCCCCCCGCCTAAATAATAGTTTGGGAACGGCCCTGGAAGACTCCAAAAAAATAATATGTTCCATACGATCCCGCTGTACATAATGACCAGACCATTCAGTTGAAGTGTGCCTAGCGCTGTCGAAGACACCCCAGTTTCGGATTTGACTGTCACTGTGGCCAGCCACCGGACAGCTGCGCCTACAGTAGGACCATGGTTGACTTGCGCTGCACCAACATATCGAAGAATTCACCGTTTAATTAAGTGTATGTATCAGAGCAGAACGTCCTTACTATCCGATTACCATGTTTCGGCAATACAAAAACCACTGTTCTTCCTGGTGCTGGAAAAATTTACAGCTTTTTGGTTTCCTTTCTCTAGATAATAAAAAGTGCTTTCATTTGTGAACCACTGTCGTAGCGTCGTGTTTTATCTTTTTGTATGGTCTTGCGTTCATTGAATAGTCTCGCACTGTTTCGTGATATTCGCCTCAAACATCGCGGGAGAAGTAACAAAAAGTGTCCGTAAACAGCAGATCGACCAACATAGGCAAGCACGCAGCTGCCACTACTAATGATATAGGGCAAATTGCCTACCTGTGATGTGAAGTAGATTGCGCCTAGGTCCAGTGACAACAATTGCCACAGAGTGAGGGAGAACAAAGCGGATGTTTGGAAGAAATTTTGTTAAAAAACAATTTAGATACAACCGGAAGTAGTGAAGAATGATATTCACTTCCGTGTCATCCGTTTCTTCATCCCTTTGATACCCGAATAGGATTTGATACAACTTGGGCAAAACCAATTGCCTTTGGGTGCTACTGTGAGATTGACGCAACCATAATGAAACCACTCGATTGAGCAGTTTGGATTGTCGCATGCAATCATATCACCGTAGCTAACGTCGTTGCAAATGCAATAACGCTTCTGATCCTCGTCTTCCTCCTCCCCTTCGTCGCCCAGAGTGGACGAAACGGGTTCCAACTTCATGTCAGGGACGAAACCGAAGGAGCCGGGTTCAAATACACTATCGGTGGGTGTCATCATCCCCCCGGAGGCGGTGCCGTCTTCGAAACCGGCAGTCTCAGCGGAGGACTGCAAGCTATCGGGGGCTACCAGTTCGTCAAACAGAGCGTCACGCCCCATCCGGCGAGACCCTCGAGAGCGGCGATCTCGTGAGGAGCTCGTGGGCGGCCAACTCACGGGACTCGGGATTCCGCTGAGGCGAGAGTCAACAGTGCTTGTGGACGCACTACGACCCGAGGGAATCCCACTGTCAGAGAGATCGGATGTATGGGGGAGGACATTCGAATGACCTTGTCTCGATCCGCGACTACCACTCATGGGAGTTGTGGGTTTGTCTGAAGTTGAGGAGCCAGCTTCGCTGTTGGCCCCCAGCCCATAAAACGGGGAACTTTTAGTTGCTAACATGGTTATGTCATGACTAAAACCGGACTCGTTATATTCGCTTCCGTCCTGAGTGGATTTTATCGTGGAGCTCGGAGGGAATAGATTCAGACTGATGGGTCTGTGGGGGAGAGTGAAAAAAACACGGAGACAATCATAAGTGTTGTAAAAAAAGAATAATTAACTCCATGGAATCAAACCGTTTGAAAAATATTGGTGAATAGAACTAATAGGCTAGTGCGGTAAACCAGTAGAACAACATGAATGGACTTATTGGATATCCTAAAGAACATGGGGCGAGGAGGAGATGGAAAAGGATGGAAACAAAAAGTATGCCTGCTGGGCCAGATGAGAATAATGACACAGTCTGTTTAGCAACATGCTACCAGTTGTGTTCAACTTCATACAACCTAAACCGTACAACGAGCGAGAAGCAAGAAAGGTGACATCAGAACCGTACCTCGGCCATTTGATGATGGATGTCTCATGCGGTGATGCAACCGTTGGACAATTAGTGAGAAAAAAGTGGGCGCATTTGAACGTAAACTGGGTTTTCGCGACGAAGCACAACAAGTATGAGAGACAAGCTCTAGATCTAAAATTGGGAAGGCCTGAAAAGCTAACAGGAGGCTAGTGACAAGCAATGACTACTGATTGTAGCTAGCGAACGAGTGTTGATCCTAACGATTAGCCATTAAGTGGACAGCGCTAAGTCTACCCGCAGTAGATCGATGCAACACACATGGGCTGCGGGGCTCTCGAGAACCGCTTGATATTCCCAGAAGTCGAGTACTCGACGATACACAACCGTGCTTTCAGTCCGGTAAAGAAGAAAGGATAGTTTAATCAAGAAGAGTCTCAACAGGTGCAATTAACAATAGCGTAAAGACCCATTCATAGAACGTAACCGAACCAGATTGTACAGATACTTCCTTGAGGGTACACGGAGAAGAAGCGCAAACTTTCGGTTGCGGAACCAAGCATTAGAATGGGAAATGTGAATTAAGTAGTCCAAGCACAAGATTATTTACCGAACCTGTCGACAGCCAGCCGTGGCGAATAAATGCCAATAGATGTGACTAGGTACGTGGCAATCCGAATGCCTCAGTGAGTGGCAGGGTTATGTAGAACTAAGTCGTCAAATAAAGGAGGAAGCGCGGACGGATAAGACTGATGCAAGTACCCCACACGCAAAAACATTGCCATAATGTGCATGCGGAGAACCAGTGGCAAAATAGCCATGGGTCGATGGGGTGTGATGCGTCGATGGCAATTTCTAATTCAGCCTGCTAGTGCAGACCACAAAATTGATGACTAATGAGAGTGAAAACGAGAACGTGCAACAGGCCGCTAAAAAGATAGGTTCAACAGCAGATTGGAAGACAGACAAAGTATTATGATGAAATGTTCGCGAGGTCTACGTGAAGTGAAAGTGCTGTTTGTTCCAGATGGCCAAAATCGTCCAAGCTTGAAGATTTAAGATGGAGCAACATGAACATAGAGGAGCCAAGAGCTATGTACGAAACATGAAGCTGAACAAATCTGGACTGGAAAGCTCAAGCAGTAGATCGAACGATAGATGCATCACGTAAGAGCAGACAGACTGGCAACCGTCATTCCTGAGTGGTTTTCCTAAATAGAGGATTAGATCACGAACCGTGCAAGATAAGCTCGAGGCGCTTTGGCCAATCTCCGTCAAATTAGGTGCCGGCCCGACATCATTCTCGCGCTAAAGAGTAGAGTTTAAGATGCAGCCATCCGTTCAACCCTCCTGGATGGTTACGAAACCTGGCACACCAAGTCGATAGAAATAAAGAGGCTCGTTACGTTCGATCATCGCTGTCTTCGCAGCTTAGCACAAATCTGGTGGGAACACTGAGTGAGTAGTGAGCACGTTCGGTTGTATTTTGTACAGGAAGAGCTAATGAACCGCTCAGATGGCTGGGCCACGTGGCACGCATACCAACACAACGATTGTAGTAGGCACGATCGGAATCTAGATGGAAGAAGAGGAGAAGAAAGGAACAGATAACATGGCAAAGAGATTTGAAGACCGTCACTGGGAAATTGACATCGGTTGGTGTCTCAAGACTGCCGGGCTGTAGTTCCAAGGACGGTGAACTCGTTTGGTTGGACAAAGTAGTTGACACGGCAAATAAATGAAGTCTATGACGTTCGCGTTGTATTTCTTTATCCCACCCCATCCCGCGTAGCTTCTACCGCTAACCACGACCTCACACAAAATGCACAGCATGATACTGAGCATTAGAGTACTTTTGGTTTTTATTTTGTCCTATGTAATGCATTGCACTTCGCATTTTTATGTAACTTTTCGTGTTGGTGTAAAATAGCCGAAGTTTTTCTCAACCTTAGCTAACATGTAAGTATGATGATGATGATGACCAGTGGGCTTGTTCTAATGGTTAAGTGAGGTGACTAATAATAATATTCAAAACATGTTGTCTGTAGAGCTCACAACCAGAGTGCAGTTGGTCCCTTAAGCGAATCTCCATGTAGTCCACTGACTTGTGAGACAGACTGTTAAGACTGTTGAAAGGTAGGACAGCTCAAACAAAATTCCTCTTTCAGAAATGTAAGACGGAAAATAACATCTGCGCTCGACCATATCGAAAATACCATCTTTGTTTTTCGTTCTCCTCATCTCCCTCTTCCCCGTCTATTGAGCAAGAGACTGCTGCCAACCCGGCACCTGCTGCCACCGACACTAGTAATGCGTTCATCAAACCACGAGTCTCAATTCACATTGGTTCTTTCAACGTCCGCACTTTGGGTCAAATCGGTCAACAGACAGCACTAACGCCCTCTTTTCACTCTATTGGTATTGACGTTTGCTGTCTCCGAAACACGCATCCAAGATCACAACGTTGTGAAAAATCTTAGACTCTCTGATTATGAATCTGACTACGATGACTATACTCTTCACGTCTCTGGCGATACTGAGTCAATTAATCAAGGTATTGATGGTGTTGGAATCACCCTCAGCACATGCTGAAGGTAATCTAGTCGAGTGGACACCGGCGAACAGCTGCATGTGGGCGGTTTGACTTCGAACCCATATTGGGGTTAATAAGCACCATTTGAAGACAAGGTGCCTTTTCACCGCCTCAGTTTATACCCCTACTGAATGCAGTTCGGAAGGTAACAAACATGATTTCTACCACCATCTTGCATCTCTTCTTCGCATGGTGAAGAACACTGACACCGTGGTTGTTGCTGGTGACATGAATGCCAAAGCCGGTCATCTTCCAGACTATGAACAACAAATGGGAGGACGCTTCGGAGTCGATGCACGCCGAACAGACAATGGTGATCGATTCCTGCAAATGTGCGCCCAGCACAACCTTTATATTAGCAGCGCTGCTTTCCAGTAGATATGTTTACACCGCGTCACCTGGCGCCAACCGAATTCCTCAATGACCTGAACCCAATTGATCATGTTGCTATCAGCTACAGATGGTACACATCAGTCCAAGACGGTCGGTCAATTTGGAACACATGCCTGGATTCCGACCATGCTCTAGTGCGCGCACGTCTGGCACTCACTCTTCTCGCTTCAATATGCGTCTAGCTTCTACCTGTAACTGGCAATCTGTGATTCATCAAAATCACAACGAACTGGCCCACCAATGAGGTTAGTGAGCGGAATGATGACTAGGATCGTCTCAAATGCCTTCGACGCCTGCTGTGCACCCAACTTGAGACGTCGCAACTGTGAACGGATCTGTGAAACATTGGACAGTTTGATGGAAGTGCGTAGAGGTTCCAACAGTGTATCCGTAACTCCCTGAAATGAGGTATAACAACGAGTCTTCGAACCGACCGGGAACGTTAGTGGATGGCAAGAATTAGTGAGATGGAGATTGCTAATGCTATTGGGAACAACCGAGTGTCATTCTAGCTCATCCGGAATACGGGTCCGAGAAAGCCATCCGTTAGTGAGACAAGAGCTGAGAAAGACGGACAGATAAAGCATTTACAACGCCGTCGGCTAGACCGTTGGCTTGCAGCAACACTGCCGTTTGTCGAATCACCTGAGCCGACGTGGTAACTTGATGTCACATCTTTCACTTTGGAAGAGATTCGACGTGAGCTTTCCGCGTTGAAACGAAACAACGCCCCTGGACCCGACGACCTTCCATTATCTTTGCTAAAAGATGGCGGTGACTCTCGGTTAATTGGACTTGGTTCTGCCTTTAGCACAATTTGGAACCGTAAAGAGGTGTCTTCATACTGTCAAATGTCATGGCCAAATTCAAGAAGTGTCAGCGCTCTTTGTACAAGAATCATCAAGACATTCGCTTTGTTTCCGTTGCATCCAAACTTCTCACGGGTTTCATTCTTCGACAACTTACTGGTCCCTGCGAGAGCCGATTCACTGAAAGCCAGGCTGGTTTCTGCCCTGGCAGTGGTTGTATTGACCACATATTTACTCTTTGTCAAGTGTTATAGAAGAGACAAATATAGACGACCAACAATGGTAGTTTTCCGTGACTTGAAAGTTGCCTTCGACTCTGTTGACCGTGGCAGCTTGTGACACTGCCTATACATGAAGGGCTGCCGGCTAAATTCCTTTCTAATATGCAATCGTTTTACGGTGATTCACGAGGTCGTGTAAGGGTCTACGGGAAGCTCTCTCCTGAGTTTCCCACGACAAGGAGGGTTTGTCAGGATTCAGACTAATCTGAAGTGGAAGTTCGGCCAGGCAACTGAATGAGAAAGCTGGAGTATATAGGCGATACAGTTCCACTTGGGTTTGGCGCAGTCGCTGTTTACACTACTGGACAGACTGATATGTATCGCTGTACGCTTCGGCATGTGCTGTACACCATCAAAGTGCAAAGTACTAATGCAAAACTGAATCGACACACCGCCGGTTCTATCTATAAACGAACAGACAATGGAGAGGGGTCGGTTCACTTGGTAGCTGTGTCACGTTTGGTGGTCGCATCACTGAGAAAGTTACTTTGTGTATTAGCAAGGCCCATGTGGCGTTCCATAGACTAAACCATCTATGGAAAGGGCGGGATATCAGCCTGTCAGTGAAATGTAGGGTCTATAAGGCAACGTTAAGACTAGTCTTGAGGCATGGATCCAGGACCTGACAAATTCGCGGCGAAGACATTAAACGCTTGGCCGTGTTTGACCCACGGCGCTTGCGGAGTATTGCTCACATTTGGTAGGAACACCGGGTGAGCAATATTGAGGTCCGCCAGTTGGTTTTCGGCAAGAAACTTTCTGATGCTTCACACGAGTGTTTAGCTAGGCCATATCTTGCATATGTCTGTTGACCGGCTTCCTCAGCGTGCATTATACGATGTATCCGCACCAAATTGGGTGAAACCGCAAGGCGGTCAGTGCACGACGTGGCATAGAGCAATGAAGAAACTGACTGAAAGACATGGTCAGTGAGCGTGTGCTATCTTCGTGGAGGGGGGCCTCGGAAAGTCCACACCAATGGTTGGAGACCGTATCAGAAATGGTGCAGTCCCACAGTCTGTGGTGTTCCTGCATTCGTTTTCTTGTATCTGGTTGTTAATTTTCGTTCCATTCAGATTAGTTTAAAGCACTTCCTCCTTGCTTGCAGCTTCTTTATATTCCATTTGCCCTTAACTCCACTATCATGTCGTTGTTATTTATTATTATTCTTGCGATATGAGTCCTGGGAACTCGATTCACGAGACCTTGGTGCTCGGATGACAGTTGTTGTACAACAGAATTTATCTGAATCGTCGACATCGGTATGCTCAGTAAAAAGAGCCGATGATTATTTTCATCCCCGATGATACCAAGATGGTCTAAAAATCCGTGAGAGAAGCTTTGGGATACACTACGGTTCATGCAAGAAAGGCACGACTCCTATGCAACACGTAGGCGATGAAATTCTCGGTAAAAAGAACAAGCATTTTGAGGATTTCAGTGCTGCCTTTTTGCACCCCTGCACTCCACGACGCGCTTCATTCTTGTTTGGGCTCATTAGGTAGTGATAACCCGAGCTGGAAGTGGAACCCGAAAATCAAGCGTTTTATGGGCATTCGGTTTAGGAAGAATCCGTTAGTCATCATGATCATCAATGCCTGTTGGCCGAGGGTGAGAAACACATCTGAGCTAATATGTCGCAAATATATAAAAATAATAAGGGGAGGGACAAACAGACTCACAACACAAACGCCACTGAGGTCGGCTCTTCGGCATGTCAACTAGTGTGTCGTCCGTGGGTCACCAGCCCGGCAGTGAAAACAGCAGCCGACAAAGATCTGGTGAGATCTAGTATGAATACGTTTGTGTACAAATAGATGTTAGGTGATACTTGTTCATAGCTTTACACTACAGGACGGGCGTAGTACTCGTTGGTACTGATCAGATCCAGATGGCGGGAATGCGACTGCAGATCGGACGACTATTGGGATGTCAACCGAAGCCTCTGCTCCTACGATCAAAATAGGCATCAGCATTACGCCGGTACACAGTACCAACGTTTCTCTGCTGTGAAACCACCACCCGTAGCGCGTGGGCTAAGGATACTGCGAACGTCGCCCGATTGCCTGCGCAGACTCGAATCAGCGACCTCCGGATTACAAGGTATACTTGTGATCCTCAAGGCCGTGTACCGACATTGCTTACATACAGCGAGTGCTTCAAAACAACCCACCCGATTTGTGTACATAGGTTTATTCGTGATTTGGGTTTTAGCATCCCTAACCGAGTTAAGTAACAAACAGAGCATAACATACAACATGCGTATAATATACGTAACAAAACCTACAGAAGCATGGCAAGATGAAGGTATTTTAAAATTCCCACCCACACTGCCCTCGAATAATGAAGGACTGTTCACGGCAATGTGATGAGTGGCAGAGTTTGTGTACCAAACGTATGTTTAATAATAATACTAATGAGCAGTGAGTATAATCCGGATAATTCATAATGGTCCACTCTCAGTCAGCAGACTTTGGCAAGTCTGGAAAAGCACCAAAGTTTAACCCAAAGCTATTGATAACGCTGCCATCAACTCCAGTTCGAACCCCCTTAGCAAAGAAAATGGAAGAACTTGTAGGTCCTAGACGATTTGACACGCCAAGTATTATGAGGATTCGATCACTGAAAAGTTGTGATATAAATAAAAGTGAGATTTATGCGACAAAAGCCGCATGTCAGCCACAGCAACGACTAGAACAAACATGTATTTCAACTTCTTCCTAAACAGGTACGTCACTCAGTATATCAGGCTACCAGTCGCAATCAATTTGCGACAGCGTATAATATTCTGTTATAAATATACAAATTGCATTGTCCCGAGCTTAAGCATCACCAGGTTCTCCTGGGGAAAATCGATTTCAAAACCGTTTCAAGAAAGTGCAAAAATTATCGGCACGCAAGTGCTCATAACATTTAGCAGAGAGTCACTAGAGCGACTCGCACATTCCACTGGGAAGATGAGTATCTAATACAACGACATCCAGGACAACAGACACCTCACTCGATGGGACATGAGCAAGTGTTAGGGAGCAACATGCTCAAACTAACACCAATTCTCGAATCCCTATATCCATCGGAATCAGGATTACTCGGCAAATCGTTATGGTTACTACGTCACTCAAGCATGTTAAACAGATAAAAGAACACTTTATTCATACTTCGAATTTACCTCTCTTAGTCTATTTCAAAACCGCAGGACATGACGTGTAGACGAAAGTACAGGCCCGTGTACGTATAAGACACATATGTAAAAGCATGATCAGGCGTCATTGCAGAACGATGTGTGCAAATTATGGGCACATAAATCGCCAAAGATTGAGAACTATGTCAGTTAGTAACCTCAATAGAATGCCAACAGCAAATCAACGATGAGTGTCGCCTGCTAGCAACAAAATGCACTCTGTGATCCGTTTCGTAATCAATTGCGCGCGTCAATCAAAGATAACAGCGATTCGGAGTAGACGCCTCCGATAGTAGGAAAAAATGTTCCCCGTTCGAGTCACAGCATTTACTTCAGACGAATAGGGCAGGGCAGTGTTGTCTGTTCCCACGCTACGGTTCCACGGATGGAATTGGCTAAGGTTCACTTTCAATCGGTAATCGCAATCCACATGGAGATCGTGTCCCAATCCATCCACACAACAAGTACTTCTCAAAATGGTTGGCTAGCCGAACAACCTCTACGTGGTGCAAGCTGGGTGGTCCGGGTTAATCCTGTTCCAGCAAATAGTTCGGCGGCCGTGTGTTCCAGGGCGTGGTGGGTTTTCGCCTGGCAAACGTTCTCCCTATAAAAAGCCACAAATGCCTGTTTAACAACACTGTGAAGTGGCGGATATGACTCGCCACTAAATACAATCACTGCTTTCTGCCTTTCCGGAGGATCGCACCCTATAAAAGAAAGTCAGCCACTTCGAAGATATTAGTTGGTCCCCACCTATATTGGCGAATTAACCGAACACAACCACAACTTCAGCATAACAGGTACAAAATCACACAATATGATTACTCACCCAAGCACTTACATGTAGACATAAAACAAATCCAGTATATACTGGTTAAAGTGTAACGTTCGTGATCATTCGCGTCTGTATTACTATGAGCCTGCCGCTTTAGGCGTGTCCTGCACTGTCGGAAAGAAAACATTAATTATTTTAGAGAAGAGTAGTAGGGGGAGTTGAATGGTATAGGTAGAAATTCGTCTCACTATCCACTGACTTACACGTTACTACCGTGCTGATGATTCCCGAAAGGATGAAACGCGCGTACAGTGCTTTTCCGGGCGTGTGGCGGCTGTCTGAGTGAGTCTAGATGTGACGAATTTCTACCTATACCATTCAACGCTCCCTACTACTCTTCTGTAATCAGTACGCAGACCAAACTGCTGATAATGCCATAAGATAATTGGCGGCTTAAGTTTGGTAAGCTCGTCGCTTGGTGAGGGGGCTACCCTGTCCTATGCACGGCAGTAACGTGTAAGTCAGTGGATAGTGAGCGGCGCTATATCACATCTAGTAACTTATTCACGATGGTCGTTGCCGTCCCCCGTAGCTCAGTGGTCTCAACCACGGACTGGCAACCGTCGAGTGGCGGGTTCGAGCCCTACAAAGGGTCCGATGGAATGCGCACTGCTGATGATTCCCGAAAGGATGAAACGCGCGTACAGTGCTTTTCCGGGCGTGTGGCGGCTGTCTGAATGAGTCTAGATGTGACGAATTTCTACCTATACCATTAATTATTTTATTTTATTGACAAGAGTAATAAAAGGGTTAGGCAATAAGCGCCTACCTTGATGCCGATTTAGAGAAAGTAAATTTGGCCATAAAGTGACTACATGCTCCGATAGTAATGGTATAGCTGAAATCAACATCAAAGCATCACACAAACAGAAGACTGGGTAGTGAAATAAACCATCCAAATGCGAACACATAGGTTTTTTTAAATTAAAAAAACCAACCTAAACTCAAGTTTCATTGAAAATAACCTAGTGCAACAGCCAGGCTCACTTGGTGTCATAGTTAGAATCGGTCCCGTATGGATCCGGATCCGGGAAATAGTCGGTTTTGATTCGTCGGGGGAAGCAAACTGTGCAGGGGGATAGATAGAGAATGCAGAGATGGACAAAAGCATCGCAAGTGACGAAAGCATGAAGTAAAAGCCGCTTAGTTGTAAAATTAAATGAAATGGCGTCGAGATAAAAAAAAGAGTGTCGAGTGAACACAGTTTCGACGAGTGATGGTCAGTGTATTGGTCATAATAAAAGTAGTACGGTCGAGTGGAGGATAAAGTTTTCGTCAAGAATTGTAACTATAAGGTGGAGAGTAAGCGAGATAACTCCATAGTAGCATATGTAACGGTGATTTGAAGACAAAAGTGGTGATAAGAATGGTAGACAGCGACATTTTGTCAGCAGATGGCAGATCGAGAAAGGGATTCATGGTAAGTGGTGCCCAAAACTAACAGCGTTCGATTAACTGTTCAGGAATTAACATATTGTCACGAAATCACAAGATCAACTTTTACTGGTCAATGAATCTCCATATCCGGATGTAGCTGGGTTCCTAGAAGGCCGAGTATTACAGCCTCAGGCATTTCATAAAAAGGGGATCGTGCCCCAGAGCAGCAATTATGGAATAGGGTGAAAGGAAAGCGAGATATAAATCTGCGTCGCTCCATCGAAATTTGAATGCAAATGCACACGTAAGATAATGTCATTAATGCACGTGCATTTATAACACACCCCACCTGTAAAACGTCTTATCCAGATTCTCAACGTCCTCTAAATCCGAGATTCGCAAAACAAATATCTAGGAATGTCTTTAAGCTTGACACTGACGCTGCTTGGAATACTGTCTCTATGGTAAACTGATCCGAAATTGCACCACTAGACGCTCAAAGCATAGAGAGCGAGATACCCGCTTCAGATTCGGTACAATAATAATGGCGCCCGCGCGTGTGTATCAGTGTATAGTCCTGGTTTCCTGAATCGGTCTTCGTACGGTAAACCATTTAACGAAGAATGAGACTGGTAGCTACACGCAGAACACGGTCACGTTTTCCGCCACGACCACAGGTGATCAGGTAATGGAAGGGCGAGTTGCATTGTTCTATTGATCTTATGTCAGAAAAGAAGAGGTGAGTGGCAGTTTTTGCAGACCAAGTGCAGGAGCTGCGCTTGAGTGGCCAAAGCATGCGCAGTCCGTCTCCGTATGGTCTGTTTGTGTTGCCCACGGACTTCGAATCGCAGGATGAGGGTAAACCGGGTAATTCCCGGAAGGTGTGGGATGTGACAAGTGGCCAGTCAGGGTGTACCTATGTCAATCACCACCCTTCCCAAGGTAACTAAATAACGACTTAACAGGGTTGATTGGCAGATCGACCTCCGCAGACCACATGCACAGGCAGTCCAGATCGTGTAGAAGTATGTCGCAATTGTCGAGGGCAGCAAATTACCATCGACATTTTCAGGTCGTCAGGAAACAAGACAACCGCAGAAGATGAGGTAATCCGCTGATGTGAGTCAGGAACAAAATGGTGCTCGGAATTTTGCCCTGACGTACACCAAAAGTGGTAGAGTACCAGTCAGTTAAGTGAGCATCCACCTGTTCCTTCCACTTCAAGGCAGTAAGGAAAGTCCTGTTCCAACGGTGAAGTGAGTCTCCAACACCGCACATCCTCAGCAAGTAGAGGAGGACCACATGGTAAACCCTGTCAAGCGCTTTACTGGAAGCAATGTAGACCACTTCAACTTACTTCCTCCGGTTCAGCGCTTGCAACTATCCATGCCTAGTCACGAGCTGTTTGGTTATACACGAGTGGACTCTCATGAAACCGTGTTGTGCGGGAACCCGCCCTATTGAATTCAGTAACTGCAGCAGACCCGACTTCCCGATCTTATCAAGGGACTTGGCCAAAACGGCGATCAGACAAATTCGCATTACTTGAGTCACAAATTTCCGGTCGTACTGCTGAGGGTTTGCAACCCTTCGGCAATGCACCTTCAGACAGCAACGTATTGAACAGCACACTTGAGAATCAGTGAATGGAACTCTGCAAAACCGACAGGTTTCGTGCCATCAGGACTGGTGAGTAGATTGTGTACACATAACATCGCAATCCAAGCTGTTGAGTCCGGCAGACGAGATACACGCCGAACTCAGCACATATGCTTGGCCATTTCCATATAAATGCGCTGCCAATATGGGCGCAGGTTCAGTGGTTGAAGTTAAGGACTGTCTGTTCGAGTGCTCTAACATTGGTACGTCATCTGCAGACCTCAAGCGCCGCTTCAACTGAGCAGATATCTCCTTGGGAGCAATCTTCAGTACGCTTCCGGCTTGCACTTCGAACTATCGACCCTTCTTTGCTTTGTCACAGTTACACATATTCAGCTCTCTTTTACCCCTCGTAATCATCGGCAGATCCAAACAGGCGAAAATGATTTCATAGTCCGCATCGTCATCGAACCAATTGACTATACTTCCTGTCGAATCAATGTGGTTTCCATTGCCAAAGTTTCAGTCCGAAGACAGTGACACCGTGAACCATATTGCGTCAATGAAATAGGGTAATTCAACCACTAGAGGACTAACGTTGTTTTTCAGTGGTAGATATTCCGCTGAACAAGTTACGGATAATTCCGCAGAGGAGTCGAAGCGTAGTTCAGACGAGCGACCTAAGAGCCAGCGAGGAAGCACACGAATTCGAATGCTCCTCAAAGCATTCGACACAATGTTCAAAATGATGGCATTTCAATGAGTTAGACGCTGACCCTTCAAGACAATCATTTCAATTCAGAAGAGTAGGGACAAAATTGTGTAATCCACAATGGCCTTAAGCGCCACCTGAATGATCTTAACCAAGTTATTTCCTTCAATCGACTCGAGGATCTTTCATTAAGCATCGCTTAAAAGTGCTAAAACCAAGTACATGGCGAAACAAACATCTTCATTGACGCAGTAAGAAGACAGGTTAACATTTCGATTGCTCTCGTCAGTCGCTACGCAATACAGGCAGAAAAACACGCAATATGTAGGGTCCACACTTAGTAACATAGATAAGCAGATAAAATTGATGGGAATGACGTAATCAGCTCCAAGGCAATCTAATCGATTGCCCCAGTTGTTTCTGGGCACAGAGCACGGGACACTTCAACCTTATCATTAGCGCCTCGCCAATTGCCAACAGCGTCGGGTTCCTGTTGCGCAATAGCACCTTGAATGAATCGATTGAGTCCACCTGGTGACGAGTCGTCATGAGGTGTTTGGTGATAGACGAGGCAGGGTTCTGGTTCATTCTTTGGTCCGCTCCGCCTTGGTTAGACAGCAACTGCCTTAGCCACAATGGGAAGTGTTCCGTCACCCTTTGAGCCAGCCGGCGACCAGTCTTGCCTATGTAAGTGTCACCGCAACTGCAAGTGAAATGATAGATGATGTTAGAGGCCGGACTGATTGGCGCGCTGCTCGGACGGCTGTGGAGAGGAACCCTTCGTGTAGTGTGAATAAGTCGTAGTTGGGCGGTAGAGTAGGTGCGCATTAGAGCGGACCTGAGCTTGTGACCAACTTCATTTGCCAAGTAATCCCCCTTGAAGGGTAATAACAAATAAACATCCTTCTTCGCCGCAGTTTGTACGGGCAGCTTCTCCTTGAGGGGTCTGCTATGGGTCTGAATGAATTTCTCCGGATACCCATTGGCTAGCAAAGTCCGGTATAAAAACTCTTCTTCAGCCTTGAGCAATTCCGGACTGCAAATCCGCCTGGCCCTGTAGAAGAGAGTTTTTACAAGGCCGCGTTTGTATGCAACTGGGGCGAAGCTGGAAAAATGTAGGTATTGTCCTCCCCAGGTCGCTTTTCTGCACATCGTGCGCTGCAATGTGCCATCGGTCCTTCTCTTGATGAGAACGTCCAGAAACGGCAGTCTGTCCTCTTGTTCCCTCTCCTATGACACAGAAAGATTAAGGTGAATTGAGTTCAGGAGGGCAGAAAGATGGTCAAAATGTTCAGCATTTGTGAAGACGAGAATATCATCTACATAGCGCTTGTATTCAGCAACTTCCCTTTCAATCATACCCAAGGACAGAAGTGCCAGAACTGGTCCCAAAGGACTGCCCATAGCGACGCCGTCAATTTGTTTGCATGCCGTCTCTTCAAACTAGAATCGCACATTCTCAGTGCACTTCAATATCAAGTCTCGCAGGAACTCCGGAGGAAGGCCCACAGAGAGGTTCCGACTCAAAAGAAATTGGCATAGGTCGTCGACCGCTTCATGTAGGGGCACATTCGCGAACAGCGATCCCACGTCTAGGGAATACATGAGCTCCGTGTCACGTTTTGTCTGTCCCAGTATATTCACGAATTCAAAGGAGTCTGTTTCAGGAAGCATTTGAGGTGATTCTAACAGGAATCCGATTAATTAAAACGGTTCGTCAGTGACAAATGACGTGCAATTAAAACTAAATAAGCGAAGTGGAATTCAGGGGAAGGTGGATTAACCTTGCAGCCGCTACAGTGAATGTCACACAGTCAGCAACCCATGCATAATGAGATTCTGAGTTGATTACCAAAGAGACAGATACTCCTGAATTAGTGTGTGCCATCTACGGTGCCAAGTAACGTGATCAATGGGAGCCAAGGCACTCGTCTATTAGAAGGGTACAAGAGGATGTAGTAGAATGGCGTGCACGCAATTGCTGTCGGTAGGAAAATCTGTACACAGCTATAGAAGCCGTTACCAATCGTAGATGTGACAAGCGCAAAGTCCGAAACAGTGCGTTAAGCGATGCGATGGCAACATTATTATTGACTTAATGATGGAGCAGTTGCGTCTTTAGAGTTGTGATTAAATGATCCCCAATGAGACGTTCACGTTACCAGTAGCGAGCATAACACTTGCTCACTAGGCCAAATGGGTAAGGGAAGATCAGGTGCCGACAACAACGGAATTTGACGGTAACTGGACTGCAGTCACCAGATGGTACATGGTGTCTTGTCCGAACTCGAACTTCTCCACCCTAATCGAGCGATGAAGACACTTACGTGCGGCGATTCATTGGGATTCGCTTAAACACGCATTGTTGAACGCTGTCC